AAAGTGAGGAATTCCTGACAGAAGTTTTCTGTTTTGTTTGTACCATCCCCTCATGAATCGAGTGCCAGACAAGTACGAGTAGAAAGGGGTAGCTCTACCCCGGAAGAAATCTATGGGGCGTTTAAATCGACTCATTAGAGCTCACTGTGTGTTATTGTCTGCCTTTGCAATCGCTTATATTTTCTTTCTATGTAGAAAATTACCTTATAAACAACAATGTACTTCAATTAAACAAATAATTAAATAATTAATGTATGTAATTTAATACAAATAATTAAACAACTAATTATTATGACTATACATGTGGTGAAATCAGCTTATCAATTGTAATCACGTGTTATGTTTAGTGACCACACAATCGTGATTGATAAAAAAAATATCTAACACAACCTGACTGCAGTTTCTTATTATGACTATACATGTGGTGAAATCAGTTTATCAATTGTCCATCAAGAATTCGTCCCTCCAGGCCAGACAGTTGATGGATCAGGTGTCAAAGCTCGTGTGGCACGAGTTCGTCCAGAATTGGCGCGAGAGGGGCGTTGGATTCTTCACCACGACAATGCCCCTGCCCACACCTCTCTTAGTGACCACACAATCGCCGGATGTGGACTCTTCTTGTTCCCAAAAACCAAATTGGTATTCGGGGGCGGCATTTGGGGGACATAAATGAGATAAAAAAAGCTACGACGGGGCATCGACACAATGAGGTAGGTAAAATTGATTTACCTGAATAATTGTAAAATAAAATTTTTAAAAAACTTTTATACGTACTTTCACAAACCTCGTATGCGTCAGACAAACCTCGTGCCAACTGCACACGCGATTTTCAACTTCAGATATTGCTCTGAAAATCTATAAATTCACACATATTGTGTAAAAAAAATTATGCATACCTATTACCTCTTTGTGTTTAGAAGAAAACTCTATAAGATTTCTATTATTGTTCCATCATCATTTTTAAGTTAATACTTCAAAAAAAGAAGTATCTTAATACATTAATTTCGAAACAATTTAGAGAACTTTTTTTATATTGATTAATACATCATTTGAATTTTACGAGTATAATGATTGAAGCTGTCGTTTTTTTTGTATAGCAATAAACTGTTGGGAACCAACATATACATTTAAACACATTAAAACATAAATATTTTCGGTCTAAACATATCTATTGAACATTATTTATCTACATGTATAAATATATTTTTGATTGAAAACGCTTTCTTGATAATAATGTTTTTTATTTCTTCGGTTTCTAAGAAAAAATATAATACTTCAAAATTGTTGTGCAGAAGAATTAGTGTTTCTAAAATTTAAACTACAGTTAGTCGGGTAATTGGCTACAATAAGAAAGAAATATAGTTCAACATGCATACCGCGCCGAAATGTGGTACACTTTTTATTCAGTCTTATCTTTCAATGACCCACGACTTTTATATTTATTACTCACTTTATATCATAACCTAATTTTATAACAAATGAAGTTTTGTTATTGAGTAATAAAATTTGTATATCTAATACTATCGTAAAATACATACAAAAGTGTTGAATTGAGCGATAAAATATGACTAAATAATGCTCCACATAAAGTTTTGATAAAAAAAAAAAAAACAATAAAATATATAACCGTAGAAATTTAAAACAGTACTATTATTACTATTGTCAAATCACACAATATCAACTATAGGGTGGCTGGATTTGTGAACCAAATTGCCCGTGTCAATCTCCAATTGAACTTATTAAATTGAATGAAGGTAGGTATTGTTACAAAATAGAAAACTAGTACACAATCCGTTGCTGTACTAACGATGAGTTATTGTTATTTCACCTCTGGGTCTTCTTATGATCTATAATTGTAGGGCCATAAACATAAATTTAAAACATGTACACGTGGCGCCCTGTATATCATACATTTAACACTTGAATACAAGTGGATCGTCGTAATTTATAGAACGTTTTATATTTCTTAAGTTTAAGAAATATATAAATTGTAATTAATAAATAAACCATTAATAAATCAGAAATTTAAAATTTTACTAGTGACAACGGAATGGAGAAAAATGGAGAACAATTGTAATTGGTAAATTTAATACGCTAAATATGAAAGATCAATCGATGCAACAGCAAAGTCTCAAGATCACAAGATAAAACACTTTAGTATCGGCGATGCCGTGTGGTCTTGGCATAGAATGGGTCACCCTTTTCTTTCCCGTAGGTGTCGTAAGTGGCTTAATGGTTGATGGATAAGCAGTAGCGTCCCTCTTAAAACATCCCCAAAACCTAACTGCGGTTGCCAACCTGCTTACCAAGCATGGCAACTACTGGCAAAATTCTCCCAATGATAAACTGACATAAGGAATGGCCCCTTTCCTTATGACAATTTATAGGGGTAGCCTATTCTAAATTAGACTTGGCCTACCTGGACCCCCTTTAAATACGCCTATGTCAAAGATTAAAACAGTCTTGATTTCGCCATGTTTCACGAATAGTATGAGGCCACAGTGGCGTATTATAAATGTTTAGGAATATATGTTAAATAACAGGCCGTTGTTGACGTAACTGATTGTCATACAATATTATTATTAAAATATACACGTGATGTATAAAAACATTGTTTACCCATCAAAATTTCCATGGGGACATAGTAAGTACTATGTAAAGTCCATGGTATTAAACAGAAGAGTAGTATTAGATGAATGTCGTAACATAACATAAGGTGGGCTGTCAGCTTATTCGCTATTATCAATAGAATAAAAATATCGTAGAAGTAAGATTATATGGGTCATGACGATATTTGTTAAATAAAATAATACAGTTATAATCATGAAAATTTAAATACAGGAAAATAACGGAACATCACCTTGAACTTAATTTAAATTAAATCATAGAAGAGTGAATGTTTCGCGACTAAAAAAGGCAGGGCTTTTAATTAAGGTTAATTGACTGTCAGAAAAGAAAGAGTTTAACTAGGTATACAAATTCTGTTAGATTAGTCTTTTCACTTTTACTTTTTAATTATAATGAAAAAATATTACAAAATATTTTCTAAACGCTAACGAATTTAGAAATCTTAATTATAATATTTGTATTCAACTTACATTAACAAAAAAAACGATGAGTTGACGTCGACTTACCTGTAACAGAAGAAATTACATTTAATTAAAATTGAGTTCTAGGACAATTTACTGTATCGATGAAACTTAATTAATAATAAATAAATTAGTTTTACAAATAATAGATAAATACTATGATTTTATAGGTTTGTACGTAGAAAAAATATGTGTACATAGCATCATTATAATTACAACCACAAACTAAATATGTACGTTAAATTATAATAAATTATAATAAGGCTAAAAATGAAAACTTATTCTTTTATATTATTGGAGAACTAATATTGCGAAACTTGAAACTATAAAATCTCGTACATCTAGAGATGTAGGTATGTCTGGCTGAAGTGTAGAGTCGGAAACAATAAAGCTACCCCTCCTTAATTCTCTACAGGGATGAGTGACAAAATAAATAACGCACGACCACAGATCAACCCTCATCTTTACGTCGGCTACAACCTTGTTGTTTTCTCACAAAGTATCAGCAGCACAATACGTACCGATCCCTATCGGCTTGGTTTTACTTGGCATAAAGATATGTAGATATATATATATATATATATATATATATATATATATATATATATATATATATATATATATATTTTATGTCAAGTTCCAATGTAATAAATAAAAAAAAAATGTGCGTTATAAGTTTAATTATTTACTTACAAATGTGAATTTATGAACATATCTTTAGCCTAATCGATAAATTATGCCTTACGTTTCTTTTAAATTCATATATATGGATAAAATTATGATTAGCTTGATTATACATTAAGTTAATTCTGGCAACATTACATATTAGGGTACAGAATAGGTAACAGTAATTTAAAGTAATGTAATTGCTCGTTATTTAAAAATAATTTAGCCATGTTCAAAGGAAAATTGCTTTTATAGCATTTTAATTGTATCTGTACATGTTATCCATTTTGATTTTCTATTATTAACATTGACTAGCTGTATCTCGGGGATCTGCCCGCTTGATTCAGTATATATAGAGTATTCTTTGTTCTAAGCTACAATATATCATATCCGTGCACCAAAATTCATTTAAATCCACTGTGTACTTCTTCTTCCGTGTACTTTATCAAACATCCATCGTCATTACAAACTTCGACATTTATAATAGTACATAACAGGATTATGTATTTTGTCATTTGGTACGGTGGATATGATTACTCATTTTATTATATATATATTATTATAGAAAGTGTTAAAATGTGTGATTTCTTGAAAATACAAACTTCTCGAGACTCAAAATCGAGATAAGATAAACAATCAAACAAATAACTTTATTAATCTTGAGTAACATTTAAGAAATAATCACAAATAATATTAAAAACCGTGTTCAGAACTTTAACCAATAAAGTACGGTTGGACTGTTCTTCCAAAGTTCTCACGGAATTTTATAACTAAACATATAAAATAATATTGGCTTTAATAAACTTTTTTTTTTCATATGTATAAAATGAACTTATTACAGTATGCTGAATTGTTTTGGACTTATGCAACAATGTTGAAACTGAAACGCAGCTATGAAATCCTATAATGCGTTTCCGATACGCTTTTAGGCCGGTTATTTATTAAACAAAGTTATCCGGGTAAATCACACTTGTAAAACCAATCTAAAGCAAATGTGTAAGGAAAATATTGTTCAATGTGTTATTATTAAAAACAATTATATATTAATTAAATTATGAAGTACCTACACATTGCTGTAACATCTAACCTTTCACATTATATCTAATAGTGTCACATCCGTTTCTTTTTGAACGTTCGTTAACTTTCTTGATGAACGAAAGTTAAATAAACTTATAAATATTTAACCATAAAAACTAATATAAATATCAAACGAAATGATTAACAGAAGTTTGCCTTTTGTTCCAGAAAAACAATGAAGAAAAACAGAAACTGTGAAAGTGGATGGTGGGTGGTATTGCTGACAGCCACGCTGGCGGCTCCTGTATTGGGTGAGGCAGCCGTTGGTCTCTACAATGCGAGACTGAAACAAGTGGTTACATCGAGCACGCTTAAATGGACCAACATAAAAAAAGAAGCAATGCAAAACTATGTTATTGGAGCTGAATCTGCAAATGGTACTTACAAATATACATTCTGCTATGTAAAAATAGTCACTTTGTAGATACATTAATTGAAATTTTTTAACTTAGAACGCGTAATCATTTTTTACCAAATAAATTTTTCACAAGAAACAATTCCAGAAAAAAAAAAAACTTTTGTTACAATCGTCACAAAATGAACATGAGTTCAATATGACAATAAACCTTATCTATTTCTCAAATAATTATGTCACTTGGATAATTAAACATTAACGTTTTTTGCGAGAAAATTAAAAATTACATATTTTTCAGGACCAATATACCTCTGCCGAGCGCGCCATGAAGGAGATATGTTGCTAGGACAGTTGAGACCTAATTACACACAATGCGCTGTATCGGGATCTAAAAGTTATACCTTATTCGAAGTGCTTGAAAACATTGAAAATGCTTCCCTAATAAACTGGCAAAAATGGTCTAAATTCTATTCCAAACCCAGTGGAGCTGTTATAGTAGATTCTTCCGTGGATGCCGTTTTCATTGGACGACAAGCTTCATCATCGCAAGGTGGATTTTCTCATAATATTGGAAGAATATCTTATGAAAGTAATATCGGACAGCTGATTACATTTGACGACAAAAATAATGAGTTCAGCGAAAATACTGGAGAAATTTTGGTTGAAATTGAACCTGTTAGCTACATGTTAGAGTATGTTGTTTTAGATGAAGACACATTGCATATTAGACAGTCAGATCCAGAGATATTCGGAGAAAGAGTATTACGTAACGATGGCGATGAACCCGCAGCAGATACAACAGCTATTGAATACGATTTCAATTATATTCTATCTTGGGGTCATGGTCATGGAATTGCTATAGGCCTAAACACTACTATAATATTGACAAATGGTACTGAATTCCCACAAATTGAATGGGCTAACCCATTTACAGAAAAAATTACAAGGCTATATAATTTAGAAAAATTTTTAGAACCAGGTACAGCTTGCAATGTGACTTTTAGGGGTAACCGTACCGAACGAGATGTGCAGTATACAGGCCAATTAACTACATATTACAATAACCATGATCCTCGTATCAGACAAATGAGAGGTGAACGAATTGAAAATACATTAGAAGTTGAAGCTATATATGGAGATGTCTATTTTGTTGGTAATAACAGTTTGGTTCCCACCACAACTACCACTACGACAACTACGACGACGACCACTACTACTACTCAACCTCCGCCACCACCACCACCTGCGCCAGAAGAAAATGATATTGCCAATGCTTTGAAAAAACCTGATAGCCCAATAGAGGATAATAATATGTTAAATGATAGTACCATGGTAAAAGCACCGCCGGTAAAGGAGGTTAACAGTGCCGTGGTGGATGGTCGCGGTAGTAATAATCTTAATGGGGCCCATATGAGAACCGTTTCCGTTATCCTGTTCATTCCAATGATTACGTTATTACTTTAAAACATAGTAGGTATCTAGGGAACCCGTTCCTCTGTAAATAATCGAAGAATATATATTAAACAGTTGCTTGATCATTGATGTATGTATTTGGCAACTAGGCTTGATGCTGTTGTTTGTTGACCGGGTGTAGGCAATAAATATCTTCCTCGGTTCAATTTTGTAAATATGATATTTTTGTTTTCTTGACATTCCTGTTATGTGATTTCATTCCAATATGTAAAACGAGGAGCCAAAATTATCACATAACTGTAAATAGTTTATGTAAATATGTAGTTACAAGTATGGAAGTCGCAGAGCGACATGAAAAAACCTTGTCGTTTACGAGATTCAGATTTGGAGGTTTGTAACATCGTAGTTAGGGATAATAGCAAGTGAGTTCGATTCTGTTACCATTATTTTTTTTACGATAGCTAATGCTATAAATTATATACTTATCAAGATAATTGTTAATAAAGAAATTATCGATACACCAGAAAACAATAGACAACGGTTAAACATCCTAGTATTAATTAAATACTGCGTTAATCTAGTTTCTTTGCAAAGTGACAGCTTTCACTGTTTTAATTATCTGGAGCCTAAATGACAAACAAATTAATATTATTATTAATTTACTGCATAGTTACCCCTCAATGTTAAAAGTATTATAACTATTTGTTTAAAGACATACCAATTTCAGTCTCAAATGAATATGGTTAATAAAGATTACTATTACCACAGTCAATCTTTGCTGATATGCTGAAAAAAAAAAACAAAATAAACAAAGTAATATCAATATTATTTTGTTTACCATAAGACAGCGTAACTAATGGTTGCCACTTCCTTGTAAACGTCAATATAATTTTATTTTACATCACTTGTTTGTCAGCTCAATATTCTCCATTAATATAGAATATAGAACTAAAATATTACGTATTTTAGCAGATTCTCCCAGTTTTCAATAATAAAGTATTTTCTTTATATTTATTTGTTTTTGTTAGTTTGTAAGTTACAAGAGTTTTTAAATCCAGAATTAAGAGATATTATTATTTTTAAAGCTTTAGTGTTTATCGATATTTTAATTTATTTTGTTTTTATTACTCTTTATTTTTAAGACACGTCAGATATATCTACTTAAGTATACCATTATGGATACTTTTAACGAATAAAAAAGGACTATGACTTTGTTAATTCTTACCAAAGTACTAGTTTACTTTGTAAGTTTACCACCTTTTATTCTATATACGTACATCATTAATACATAAAATTTAATAATATCCCTCCGTTATAAACTTACCAATACTAATTGTGTAGGGAAATCCTTAGAAAATGAACTGTTTTTGACAACAGTTATTGTTAATGCTTAGCGGTTTTGTCAATGTGTAAAGAAAATGGATGATATTTTTGTATGGGTAGATATCGATTGTAAGTGTTCGCCTTAAGTAAGTGAAGTTACTTCAATTTTCTAAATATTTCTTCGTCTTTCAATATAGACGTTTGAGTTGCTAATACTTAGTATTCCTTAATATTTTACAGCTGATGGTAAAGTTAGTTATTGTAGTAGTAAACGTTGATTATTTTGTACATCAATCTCCCACCTAGTGTACCTTTTATCAAATTAGCTATAAAGTTATAATTAGTACCTAATTACACTTTGCTTTTATTTAATAAAATATTTTTGCTTAAAGTTGTAAATTGATGTTAGAATTAATAATATTCCGATACTCCTGGCCTCTATGTTCAACGTGATATTCTAGAGGATGATTGCTTATATCTCATGTTAGATATACATATATCTGTTCTTTATAATAAATAAGCAACGTTCCATTATTATGTAACCAAGCGATTCCTACTAAATGGTTAAAACAGAATCTCGTTAAACATCAATATTGTTTTGTGAAGCATAATTGTGATGTTTCATGTAAGATTTATTTCTTTAAAATCATTAAAGTGTAATTGAAAAACGTTTGATTTTTATTAATTATACCCACTATACTACATTCTTTTTTATGTTATGATTTCCTTGTGTTTGAAATGAAATTAGAAAATGTATAAACGCTCTTTTACCCCAAAGACGATGTTCCCTTCATCGTATGTAGAAGATAAAGAAAAAATGGCATATTATTTGCACCAATACAAGAGAAACAAGTAAACCTTATAGCAAAGCACTTGGTTGGCATTGTAAGTAACTAATAGTCTTATGGGTGATAATGGAATGGTAACCCCACCCGCCCTATCGGTATACACCGGCGGGGCACCAGTGAAGGATGATAGGTGAGGATGAAGCAGGTCAGTTAGCCCATCATGACGAATTTAACAAAAATTGTTCACGATGATTTCCAGGGGAAACCACGTGGAGGTCGACCTAATAGGGCATAATGCTAGCAATGGGACTGTCAAATTTCATTGCTAACAATCTCTTTCTCCCCCCAAATAACTAATATAGGATGAAAGAGAGGGTTGTATGGTGACGATGCAATATGATTAATATAATAATATTCTAAGTAGATCATGTTTGTAAATAGGAAATGTCTTATTAAGAGCAATAGAAGTAAAAATTTTTTTTAATGTGTCTGTTTGTTTGTCCCAGTACCACGCAAAAACTACTACATCAAATTGAATGCAGTTTTCACAGTTGTATTCCCAAACGTTTTAAAAACTGGCATACGTTTTATTTTGATACGCCAACTAGAAGTAGTATATTACATTACTTTTCTATTTCTGAGATCCGCATACAAACTAGCATAAAGAACCAATACATAGTAAAAATAATTATATAATGACTACTTTATCCGATAACATATAAGTAATATACTGTCATATATTAAAGAGGGTTAAACCAACCCTTTAGTCTAGGGAAAGCGTCTGGCACTACGTTGCGACGTCTCACTCTCCTTTTACAAGGCATCGCACATAGGTGAATAAATGAAGCTCAATATCTGAAATTAATATGGGAAGGTAATCTTGGTGCAAAAATGTTCTCCTATGATGATTATAATACCTTTATTGCGAACTAATTGCAAGATAATTATATAAATATTCAATACATAATTGTTTATATAAATATTCTTGCATAGTTTAGACATTGGTAGGTATCATACTTGTATATTAGTTGAGCTACCCTATTTGGTATTCCTATTATGTTATCTTAATTTCAAAATCAGATCATTATTGTGTTATTTTTATCTCCTTATTACTGTTGTTAATTATATATTAAAGTTTGTTTTAGTAGTGTACTCAGGTTGACGTTTTGGCGTGGGTGTCCGTTAATGCTATCAATTATCGCACGATGAAGTTGCGTCGGGCATCTGCCCCTCCCCTAATTATATTCAGATAATCCATTACGTTACAGCTTAAAATAAAACAAGCCTATATATATAATTATTATACATTATTAAATCCTTATAAAACATGACTATTTAAAATCTATTATATTATATTTATAAATAATATAAATAATGTTAAACAAATATTGCTCATCCTTTATAATTAATCTTATTTTTTATTTAAATAATTGAGATGTATTATAACATGTAAAATATATATAGAATAAATATGTTACATGTGGCACACCAACTTTTTATAAGAAAGTATAATAACAATAATAACAAATACCAATGGCCTCTACCCATCTCCATACGAGTATGTATACCATTTAAAAGAAACTCAACAGTTAGTAGTCATTGATTGTGTACGAATAATAAAGCTACGGGTGGTAAATGATACCTATAAATATTCCATAATACTATTGTTCGTGTATTGAGAATCCGTAAATAGTTTCACATGTACACATAATCATTATAACATCTATGCTTTTCGTTAACGACATGCACGTGGTGATCACTAAAGCCAATTTTTACAAATTAAAAATCTTATATCATAATGTATATTGACTATGCTCAGTCGAGCACACTTGAGGATTTATTATCTAATAAATCTATTATTAAATAACTTGTTATAATAGAAAGGACAAGGAGAACTTCAGATTAATGTCAATAATTACAATCATGATTAGATTTGACATTTCGGTAATAGGTATGTAAATGAAATAAATTCAGTTTGACAATAAACTAACAGCATAAAACATTAACCGTCGCATATAGACATAAATAATTTAAATTGTTACTTAAAAAAAAAAAAACTTTAATAGTGATAAGTTTTCTAGAAGCAATAATTAAACATATTTATTTTAAAAAGTATTATCAAAATTGGTACAAAATTGGTGACAATATACTCGTAGCACACCCATAAAAATAAATACAAGCTGTCTTTATTATAATTAGGAATTTTTTAATTCATACATTGTCTGTAACTCCTAGGGCGTTAAGGTTTTATGTCTATTATTTGGGAAATTACAGTGGCACAATATTTTATTTCTTACAAATATTTTATTTCTTATAAATATTTTATTTCTAAAATAACAGCCCACACCCAAATATAACTCAGCTGAGTTACAGCAGAAATCGGTAAGAAAATAGTATAATTTTCAAATATCTGTGTATATATATATATATATAATAATCGCCTATATACTGGTATTTAATAGCATGTAAAAGGAATCCCATCGTAAAAGTTCAACGCATCTGACATTTGTAGGGTGTTTTAACTGAGTCCATTCACTAGACCAATAAAGAGCGCTCATTTCATCAAGAAATGGCTGGTATTAGGAAGCTCCAGTATGACGCTATAAAATGGCAAAGAAACTGCCTATAAAATATGGAATAAAAAATATATTATAGAGGTTTTAAAATATGTCAATGAGATATTTGATATAAATGCATCTAATATAAAAATATACTTAACTTTTCGACCTCTACTTTGTATGCATGGTTTTCACAAGTAGGACTCAATAAAATTGACCATGACGACTCCAATTTTAAGTTAGGCCTTAAGGAACACAACTGAGAAAACCGCATCCAATTTGGTGCAGTACTTTTTATGTAATACCGAAACAAACATACAGACAGATAAAATTTCAAAAATTATTGTTTTGGTTTTCATTGTAACTACTGTATAGTTACAGTTTTATTATACTAGTAAATCTTAATCTAGTAGTAGGTCCTTAAATATTCCATACATAGAGTAGTACTAGAGTACAATAATATGATTATTTTGTCCAGAAATATCAAGAGAAGTAGTTTGTAAAATTATGCTGACAATGATACATCAAAATACAGAATTAATCACAATCTTATCACAAAATGTACATAAATAACATTGTTATGTAATGTGATACCCAAACAATTATTTACAAATGGTTCGTCAATAAAATGACAATGGAATACCTAATTTTACATATTACTGATAATGAGTTTATTGATGCCCCATTGTCAGTCTATTGAAACATAAATAACGCAACTGTTCTTCAGATAACATGATCATAAATATCTAAAAAAAAGTATATGTTTTAAAATGGATGTTAAAAATAATATAAAACTGTTTTTCACAACACAGCGTTTTTCAATTGTGAGCATTCGTTTTCCTTAAGGTTATTTATTCCACAGCAGATGGCACCAACGACTAGCCACCATACCGATGGGATTGTAATATAAAAGTTTAAGAACTCGATAGGAAGGATAGAAGAATTATGGCGAGTAATCAAATATTTAGTTTATTTACCTACTTAGCTGCAATACATAGAACATTACATAGTACTAGTAGTAGTGCAATACATAGTACTATGATTCATTCCTAAAATAAAAAAAAATACATACATATATAAGTATAATAATAAATAATAAGATACTTATTATTATACTTATAATAAATAATAAGTATATTATACACAACGGCGATAACGGTGTATGCATGAATTACTTACAAATTATGCAAATTTACTGAAATACTTTTTTTTATACAACTTAGAACGGCAAACAAGCTGACGACCCACCAGATGGAAAGTGGTAACCGTTGCCTACAGACTTATACATATAGATATATACCTATAGACACATACATATACATACAGACATAAACATACCTATTATAATTATGAGGATACAGATATAATGTATCTGTAAGTATTGTATTATATCCCATTGCCTAACTGGAAATGTTTTTATTTACACGAAATACTATAAGCTTTCTTTGTAATTTTATTGTTTATGTAAGTTTCAAAATGTTGCTACTTACATAATCCGATGATTAGAACGACTTACTATAATGAACAAGCAAATATGTAGGTATATAGTTCAGGATAAAGGCCTCTGGCATTCAGTTGTCTGTGCTTATCCCTTAAAGAACTTAGCGTTAAGATAGAAAGACATTATATCCATAAGTTTCTACATTTCATTATTATTACTTCATTTTTTAAATATATTTTGGAATAATGAATGTAGTATCAATTATCATAATAAAACCTACAATTTCATACTAAAATGTAGAAATATTGTGCAAATACATGAATTACACAAAATTAATTTTTGTACGCGGCCGAAATCTGCCTTGCCTGCTTCTGCCATAATAGTACTCATAGGTAAATACAAAAGTTGGATTAAAACTACCTAGGTGCTGTGAGTGTTGTCTTTCACTCGAGGCGTATTCAGTTTTCTTTGTGAAGACGACAGCCAAGGGCCGCGACAAGCTCAAAGGTAGGCTGGAGGCAGTATACTCGTAATTATTCCCTGCATGCGGAAGGGAGACGGAGCGAAACAGACACGCAAAAGCCTTTCCCCAAGGACCCCTCGTAGGCTATTTACGAGCTGGTGCAATCGTGGGGAACAACTCCACGTGTTAGCAGCCGGTTGAACGTTTTTAAGACATACTCGTCTACATATATATAGTTCAGATAAGTTAGGAAATTTTCTTTATAACAATAATTAAGTGCCACACAATCACACCAGTGCGAGAATAAGCATATTCCAAATCTCTTTTTTCAAAATACCGTTAATGTCACTAAATGTGAGACATTGGTCAAACCTCATGAGCATGAAAGGCATAGCAATATGTGTAAGTAGTAGGTATA